TTCCAAGGTGGTACTGAGCCAGATTGCAGGCTTCTTACTGTCTTCGTTGCTGCAGCCTTAGCTTTCATCTAACTTCCCCAAATGTTGACATCTCTTATCCGCTGCCATCTCTCTTTTTCTTTTCTCCTTTATAGATTTATGGATTTTAATTCCATTTAGCCATTTTACTGGAATTTTGGGGACCAAGTGGGCACAATGCTACCTTAATGTGCTATATTTGATTGAAGACAACACCGTGCTATTTTGCTGGGCCTCCATTTTCTCCTCCCTACTGTGGGGTTAACGGCAGTGAGAATTTTTCTTAAGCAGAATGCTCTGCCCTGTTGTTCAGGAAGCATATCCCAGACCCACTATCTGAACTGTGGGGACCATCAGGAGATTTCCAGCAGAGCTGGGCTTCTTTCCATGCACAAGCAGGAGTCCATAGGTCTGACCATGAGGGCAGGAGGGAGGGATCAAGAAGTCCTTTCCTTCGTGTGTCATGGTGTGGGGATAGGTGGGGGTGGGTTGCCCACTGGCTGGCAACTGATGACAGAGCTTTCAGGTAGAAAACAGGAGTTCTTTGAAATCTTGTGAGTCGAGAGATTCCAGAAAGACCTTGCCATCCAGAAGAAGTAATACATGAGGTTCCAAATATGCATGTTCCCTGGGTCATTTTTCTGCTTAGCTGCATGCACGCGAGATGTGAGCCTTAGGTTGCAAGCGTTCCGATGGTATGATGCATCTTAGATCTTGTCCTGGTTCTGCCAGAAATTTGGGCCAGCCACTTCCTCCCTCTCTAAGCTTAGTTTTCTCATCTGTAAGAAGGACAAATGCACAGCAAGCACACTCCTCACGTGCACAGCTCCAGTGATTGCTGGAGTACTTTCCAAGTCTTCAGATGCTGCATTTGGAACACTGAGCTCATGCATCTCTCTTCAGGTTGACCCAGTGGAAGGTTCTGCGCTAATTACTTTGCTGATGGCTTCTAATCCCTTAAGAGACAGATACTCTTTCTGAGACCATGACATTGTTTTGGCACAAATCTGTGGGGTCTGGAAGCATACCCATGGTCAGAAACATCCTCCTTTGGTGGAGATAACAGAAAAATAGTAGTGGTGATGGATGGAGAAACACAGAGATGTGTGCCAAGTCTTGCCACATGCAAGTCATCTTACCCTGACACAGGATTGCCAGTGTCTCTGTGATCAGGAAATGGGACACATGTGGCAATTGTGCCTCTCTGTCATGGGGCCTGACCCTTGGGAACAGTGAGGAAATAATTTATCCTGTGACTATCAGTGTGAGAAGAAGAGATGGAGATGAGAGTCAGGGGACAAAGGGAGACCTGACCCAGGTGACCGTCTGCCACCTCTTCTGGTCAATGCTGACCACCTGGGGCTGAGAACACACATAGTCAGTCGACTCTCTGGGTCCTCCATCCATGAGGTTTGTCATGGGGTGCCCCGAGGATAGACATCGCCTCCCATGCAGAACCACGGGGGATGCTCAGTCCCCTGGAGAATGGCCAGATTTCTCTGGGGCTTTGTGAGGACTCCTGTGGGCAGGGCAAGATGAAGCTCTGACCGACAGACTTATGATGGAGCCAGCACCTTCACCCCCAGCCCGCAACTTTCTGTAGATTATGAGTCTTCAAATGCCATCGAGTTCCATCAACATGGGAGCCTTTGCAGGGAGAGGCTTCTTCTGTGGCCTCCCATGAGCCACGTACAGACTCGTGGAAGGGCTGTTGACTTGCTTTCAGCCTGAAGTTACTTTGTAAAGCAAAAATATAATGATCAAACACATCCATTCAACAGCGACAGTTTGGAAAATGCCAAATAGAAAAAAATATATAATTCTCATTCCCATCACACAAAGTTAACTCCCATTTTGATACTGTTCCATTCTTGACTTTTCCTATGGGTGCTTTTGTCCTTTTACACAGCTGTGATTATACAATTACACATTTTTTTTTCTTTTTCAACTTTTATTTTAGCCTCAGAGGGTATATATGCAGGTTTGTTACATGGGTAAATTGCATGTTGCTGGGGTTTGCTGTACAAATGATTTCTTTACCCAGCTAGTGAGCATAGTGCCTGATAAGTAGTTTTTTGACCCTCACCCTCCTCCCAACCTCCACCCTCAAGTGAGCCTCTGTGTCTGTTGTTCTCAACTTTGTGTCCACACGTACTCAATGCTTAGCTTCTGCTTATAAGTCAGAACATGCGGTATTTTGTTTTCTGTTCCTGCGCTCATTCACTTAGAATAATGGCCTCTAGCTACATCCATGCTGCTGCAGAGGACATGATCTTGTGCTTTTTTATGGCTGCATAGTATTTAATGGTGCACATGTACCACATTTTCATTATTTAGTCCACTGTTGATGAGCATTGAGGTTGATTTCATATCTTTGCTATTTTGAATGGAATTGCACTCTCTCATATTGTGATATTATATTTTTTACTGGATGCATAAACATATTCCCATGTGCTTACAAATTTTTCCTAAAGATCACACATCGTGGCTGAGAACATGCAGTAGATTAATTGGCCAATCTCTATTTTTGGTTAATTAGTTTATTGTAAGCTTCGGCTGTTACAAATAACACTGAAGTCACCATTTTCACGTATTTTTTAAAAACCCAGGATCAATTCTTTAGGGTCATTCCCAATGTAGATTATCTAAATGTTTAAGTTCTTGATTTCCTAAGGGAAAGTCTCGCCTTAGGATTCTAATTTTCATGTGCCCAGGGAGAGCAGCACGAGTTCTCGGCTCACAAAACTCCTTGTCCAAGACCAGCAGACTGGTCTGAGTCTGACTATGAGCTAAACCACAAGCCTCCTCCTCCCCTCCCCGCTTCCCCTCTATGCGCTTCTCTTGGTGAGGGCTGTGGGCAGCAGTGTTCTGTGAGGGCCTTGAAGAGCATCCTGGGCTGCGGGTGCTTCCCTAGGCTTAAACAGCTCCACTGGAAGCTGTTGCCCTGACCATGCTGGTCCCCACCCGTGGAAAGCCTGTCAGGCCAACACATGTGAGCAGCCTTTGTTCCCCAGTGTGGCCCCACAGAAACAGTGACTAATGAGTGTGCCTTCCTGTCTCCTCAGAGTTCAGCCGGGTCTCCCAGGTTCAAAGAACGGTGTCTGACTCACTTTTTCCCATTTCCCAAAGGCAACTGCAAATGAACAACACTGAAAACACCTCCCACTCTACCCAAACAGACCCCATCCTGGGGGAATTACTTAGTCCAGGGCCTAGGCAGAGCTGGCAAAAACAGCAGCATCCCAGCCAGGGATAGGCACAAGCTGCTTCAGGAAGGATGCTTCCTCCTCACCCCAGGGGCCCCCAGGGGCATCGGACTATTCTTCCAACCTGCCTCCCACTTCGTCCTCCCACTCCAGATGCTGCATGTTCTACTGTTGGCTTTAATTTTCCTTTGTATGTGAACACTGGAGAGAGTTGGTTTGGGAGTCCCCGTGCCTGACGGTGAGGCCAGGAGCCTGTGGTCACCAGGGCCTGGTCAAGGGCTAGGAAAGTGAACTTTGTTACAGGAGGACACATTTTTTAGAAGAAAGAAGGGTTCCAAGCCAATTTTGCAGCCTCACGGATTTGCCTGTGTAGCTGAGCTTCATGGGAAAGTCCCAGTGTTGTCATGCAAGAATTGTGGCTCCACTTCCATGCCCAGGGTTGGAAGTCCACCCTCAACAAAGATTTCCATGCTGGACACAGGTGACAACTACTTGGCCACTACCAGAGGCACAGATCACAGCCTAGCAAAACAGTGTGTTTCACTTGTGGATGGCCTTGTTCTTTTCACTTACTCTGAATCGTTTTAGGAATAAGGAACGACCTACAGTAGTTAAATAATTATCCTATTTCTTATGGGAACAAAGCATCTGTCTCTCAGAAAGTCCACCCACTGTCCATTCTCCCACCCAAAGGAGCCAGCAGAGTGAGGTGAGAACTTTCTTTGCATGCAGTGGGTCCAGTGTTGAGATGTCCCAAGTGTCTGTCTTCTTTCCGGATTAAACACTACTCTCCCTTTACTTGTTTCCATGTGACCTGGATCCTATCTGCTCACTCTTCCTAGGACAAGTCCCTTTCCCTCATAGAATGTGGATGGAAAACTACATGAGTCTTCTATCTAACCCCAGCACTCCATGGGAGCTACTGGTACCCATGTTCCAGTAGCTGGATACCCTGTCCCTCCAGACTCCATCATACTCCAGCCTTGAGCAGTGTGGGCAGCCACAGCCCACCACGCTCTTAGACCCAGTTTTCACTCAATGACCACCCCCAGGCCTTTAATATGAATATCTGGGCCACCAAGTCAAGACACTAGTCTTCTCTTCATATTCAATGTCCCGTGATTGTATTTTATTTCAATTATACCTACAAGACTGGCACTGTAGAGACTGATCATCTCCAACAGATCTCTGTGATCATGACATAAGGTGCAGTTCCTGGGGTTGCTGCCAGGCATAGTGATGCTTGTGAACTGGGAGGTGGGAAGATCCACATGGAGCTTCCAAGGTATGTGTGAGGGATGGGGAGGATGGGAGAGGAACAAGCTCTGTGCAGCTGGGACTTGTTTACAAAACACAACAGCATTGATTCAATATTGACCCATCACAATTCCCTGCTGGTTAAGGACATAGGCCAAGTTGCAGAGCAAGGTTTAAAGAAATGCAAGCAGGTACATTGAAAGATGTTCCCCCAAAACTAAACTTTTCAAACAGAATAATATTGACAACTTTCTTGGTGTTCCTTGACTTCTTCTCACTGTCCGTGATGCTCAGAGCTCCATCTTTAAAAGCCACTAGGCTTGCAGCTGGTGCTGATTAGGAGAGTGTTGACAGCATGGTTTTCTCTTCCTACTAACTGGGGAGTTAGAAACAAAAATTTATTGAGTTTTTACTGGGTAGCAAACTCCTGTTAGGGATTCTACACACTTGATTTCATCACCACTGGTAGTCTTTACTATGACACTGTAAAATATGTTCTTTTCCCCATTTCATTTACAGGAAGGCTGAGGGTCACAGAGGTGAAGTCATTTGCCCATGTTGACAAAGCTGGTTATGACAGAGTTTGGATGGGAATGCAGAGCTTCTTGACTCAAAAGCCCAGGCTTTGTCTACTGCTTCAGACTCTAGACCAGCGCTGTGCAATAGAAATAAAAGGCGAGCCACAAATATGAGCCAAATGTGTCGTATTTTCTCAGAGCCACATCAAAGAAAAGAAAACCAGGTAACATTAAGTTCAATTGTATGTGCTATTTAACTTAATGGATCCAAAACATTAGTATTTTAACATGTAATCAATATAAAAATTGTGAGTTTTATGTTCTGTTTTTGCTGTAAGTCCGGAACCCGTTGTGTAATTTTCATGTGCAGCACATCTCAATTAGGACTGGCCACGTTTCAAGTGCCCAGTAGCCACATGTGGTAGTTGGCCACCATATTAGACAGCTCAGCCATAAAATATAAAAATAGCTGCTTTGTTTTTCTCTCCTAGATATTTCTTTAAAGAGAATTATTTCTTTCTTAATGTTTTTCATTACATTTGAACATTATAAGAAAATCATTGAATTCTTAATGAGTAAGAATAACAAATAGATTTTGACTCAGATTAGTCTGCTCAGACTGCCATAATAAAATCCCACTAACTGGGTGGCTTAAGCAACTGAAATTTATTTTTAATAGTTCAGGAGAGTGGGAATGTGAGATCAAGGTGCCAGCATGGTCGGATTTGGTGAAGGCTCTCTTCCTAACTTGCAGACAGCTGCCTTCTCACTGGGTCCATATGTGGTAGAGAGAGGAAGGCGTGGTGTCTCTTCTTATAAGAGCTCTAATCCCAACATGAGGGCCTCCACTCAGACCTCATCTAACCCTAATTACCTCCCCAAATCTCCTCCAAATACGATACCAATGCAGGCTAGGGCTTTAGGGCTTCAACACAGGAATTTGAGGGAGACACAAACATTCAGTTCACAACATCACTGAATAAAACACAGGGTGAGAAAGTTTCTCACAGTGCTAAGTGATGCAAAATGTATTGGAGTAACCTCCCAGGATAATGAAGAAACTTCTGTTGGTGGTATTGTAAGGCGGCATGTTGCAGAAATGCCCGTGCAAAGTAAAGATTTCCATGCAAACCCTACTTTTTACAAATCTACAGTCATTTTTTTCCTCAATTCTTATACATGGGGAGGTGCCTTTAATCCAATTTTTAAGATTCAGACAGGGAGGTTCTGAGATTGAGTGATATTTGGAATTTCTATAATACATATTTGAAACCCAAGACACACAGATAGACGGAGCAGGAGCCAAGGCCTCCCCAGCAGCCTTCCAAGCCCTGAGTCTCTTCTTCTATGACCAGTGCCTGCCACTTTGCTTGGGAGCAGTTGCTGATGGCATGTTGCTATCTTTCATGGCAACTGAGGTCAGCCTGGGCCCTGTTCTACATACATTTGTCTTTGTGTCCTTTTCGAGGATCACAGAGCTTTAATGGGTTTTGGTTTATCACCTGAGCCAAGTACTTGGTGGCTTGCGCAGTGGGCCTCTATGCTGATGCCCAGAGAGACAGGATCTCTTTGCACATGCCTGAGGAACTTTTAGAGAGAGATGGCTGGGGGATGGGGGGTGGGAGGCAAACACTTGAACAGGTTTCAATTTTGTTGTGATTTGTATTGCTACAGTTTCTTTCCATTTGGTCTTGTGGTGTCTCTTGAGAGTGGCCGTGAGCCCAGATAACCACTTTCTAGGGGAGCCCTGATGGGGGACATTAGGTTCGGATGTGTGTGTCAGGTTAGATGCAGTGAAGAAGTGAAACCAGAATGCATGAAACAGGGGAAGCATTTCACTCACAGGCCTCAGGGCAGATGATTACACACTGGAGGCCTACAGGAAGCCAGGAGGTGGCGGGCAGCTTACCCAGTGCTTTGGAAGGGAGAACACCTGTGGGACTATGCTTTCATTAAGGCCCATGGCCATTATTCTTAGGCTTTCCTCTGGGGTTGTGGACTGGCTGGTTTAAAGAAAACACCTATGAAGGGGGGGCCTTATTTTCCTGATGCTGGCATGACCATTTGGTTTTATTATAGTCAGATATTGGGTTTTGGGTCAGTGGGATGAGGAATAACCACATGGGGAGAGGAAGTTTTGAGTCCAAAGGTGACTGGGTACAACTGAGTTCCAATCAGCTTATGTCAGGCATAAAAATGGATGCTGAGGCAGCGACTATATTAAAGAAATGTATGACGACCTTGCTATTGAAGCTGCTGTTCCTTCATTCCTACATCCTTCAAACCCTCACTAGAGACTTTCTCTGCCAGACCCCAGCTGGGTCAGGGGTGCACAGCAAAGGAGTGGCAGTCCCTGCTCTCAGCAACCATAGCATGGCCACAGGATGAGAGAGGCAGACACACTCTGAAATCAGGACACACATCAGCAAGCATTGGCTTAGCAGCAAACGACAGCAGAGAGCTCCCTGGGCTCCGGGGAAATGCTGCTCTCCGCTGACCACAGGAGCTGATGGATGGGCTCATGGAGTGGGAGACACTTGGCGGAAGCAGCATGGATGGGTGATCCCAACTCAGAGAACCCACTAAGAAATGTGGTGGCTTCCCTCTTCCACCTTCGTTGCCTCTTTCCACCCAGATGCTGGCAAGAGGCGACTTTGTGGACAAAGGGAGCTGTAATTCACTCAGGAGATATGCCATGTCAGTCACTTTACATGCGCCACTGGCTCTGGGTTAAATTGTGCCTCTCCTCACTCATATGTTGAAGTCCTAATGTTTATTACCTCAGAATGGAAGCTTATTTGGAAATAGGGTCATTACAGGTCATTAGGGTGGGCTGTTAATTCAATATGACTGGTGCCCTTATAAAAATGGGAAATTTGGGCCCAGTGTGGTGGCTCATGCCTATAATCCCAGCACTTTCGGAGGCTGAGGCAGGTGGATCAGGAAGTCAGGAGCTTGAGACCAGCCTGGTCAACATGGTGAAACTTCATCTTTACTGAAAACACAAAAAATTATCTGGGCGAGGTGGTGCATGCCTGCAATCCCAGCTACTCAGGAGGCTGAGGCAGGAGAATTGCTTGAACCTGGGAGGCAGAGGTTGCAGTGAGCTCAGATTGTGCCACTGCACTTCAGCCTGGGCAACAGAGCAAGACTCTGTCTTAAAAAAAAAGAGAGAGAAGGGGAAATTTGGAAACAAACATAGAAGGAAAATAACAAGTGAAGGTAAATGCAGAGATTTGAGTGAAGCTTTTACAAACCTAGGAATACCAAACATAGAAATAAGCCACCAGAATCTCAGAGAAAGCCTTGGAGTAGATTTTTTCCTCACAGCCCTCAGAAGAAACGAAACTTACCAGCACCTTGACCTCAAAGTTCCAGCCCCCACAACTGTGAGACAATAAACTTCTGTTGTCTAAGCCATCCAGTTTGTGGTACTCTCTTACAACAGCCCTGGGAAACAAATCCATTATTTCAATGAATCTGTAGAATATCTCCATGAAGAGGATAATATCGTGCCCATTTTATAGAGGAGGAAAACAAGGTTCAGGGAAGTGACTTTCCCAACGCTACTCAAAGCTACGGCTTGAGCCCAAATCTACTTCACGCCCCAGCCCACTACGTCCCAGTCTTCCGGCAGGGATTTGCCTTCAGCCTTGGTGTCACACTCAAGTGGGAGGCAGGCAGATTAGTCCCTCATTTCTTGGAAATACATTCTTCTGCAGGTTCTGAAAGGCAGGTCAGCCCACTGGGAACAGGAGCTGTGTATCACGTTTCAGAAATCAGGCTCCTGGACAAGCCAGCTCCACCCATCCCCCTGAGCCACGCCTAGAAAGCTCCCAGCATGGACAATATGTATTTAGTTCAGGACAGAGCTACGCTCCTGCCTCAGGACCCGCCGCAGATGGAAGTCCCCTTATGGAAGACAGAAATGTCCACTGTCACAGACATGCAAACATCCCATAGGAGGTTCCTGAGTTTCACCCAATCCTGTTATAGGCAGCCATATCTTTTCACCTTCTCTACGAAATGAATTGGAAAGTGAGACTGAAAAGTAGTTGTATTGACTTTGTCTTTCATCGACTTTGGCTCCATAAATCAAACAGCTGTCAGGCAGTCAGCCCCCCAGTAATATTCTAATAGATGTGCCACAGGCATGGTAGATTGTACTTACTGGGTCAAATAAATACCTTTTCATCTGTCTACAATGTAGGTAACTATATTACGCTTTGCGGTGTTTCTCCTATTAACTTGATCTAGGCTCTGGAGGGACTTTCCTGAAGCCCTGGGATGAAACCAGACACTCTTCATGCCTCCTCCTGTCCTCCTTTAACTCCCCCAGCAGGAAGGCAGAGGGCACAGTCCAAGGTCCAGCCTGCACCAAGGCTAGCTAGGACCCCCACGGGCTCACAATGATTCAAGACAGTGAAGAAATATTGGTACAAATTTACCCCAACAGGTATCTCCTGTGGACTCCAATTCCTTCTGACTTTTAGTTTTGCTTAGGAATTGCAAAAGTAAAACATGCTGGCTTTACAATATTGCTGCTACAGAGGTGTATAAAGTCTAGGTTGAATGTAACCACTTCCTTGCAATTAAAACAAATTTAAAAGAGAAACTGGACCATACCATATAGGGTGCTTTGCAATTGCTTTTTTTTTCTCCACTAGAGAATAAACCAGCTGGGCGAGGTGGTGCATGCCTGTAATCCCAGAATTTTGGGAGGCCAAGGTGGGAGGATCGCTTGAGCCCAGGAGCTCAAGACCAGCCTGGGCAACATAGCAAGACCCCCATCTCTAGAAAAATTAGCTTGTCAGGGTGGACATGCCTGTAGCCTCAGCTACCGGGGAGGCTGAGATGAGAGGATCACTTGATCCCAGGAGGCAGTGTTTATAGTGAGCTGAGATCGTGGCACTGCACTCCAGCTTAGGTGACAGAGCCAGATCCTAACTCAAAAAAGGAAAAAAAAAAAAAAAAAAAAAGAATAAAGCAAGGATAAACCAAGGAGCCTTTAGATCAGTAAATATAGTTCCAAGCTGGGCGCGGTGGCTCACGCCTGTAATCCCAGCACTTTGGGAGGCCGAGGCGGGCGGATCACGAGGTCAAGAGATCGAGACCATCCTGGTCAAAATGGTGAAACCCCGTCTCTACTAAAAATACAAAAAATTAGCTGGGCATGGTGGTGCGTGCCTGTAATCCCAGCTACTCGGGAGGCTGAGGCAGGAGAATTGCCTGAACCCGGGAGGCGGAGGTTGCAGTGAGCCGAGATTGCGCCATTGCACTCCAGCCTGGGCAACAAGAGCGAAACTCCGACTCAAAAAAAAAAAAAAAAAAAAGAAAAGAATATAGTTCCATTAAACACTTTTTACTTCTTCCTCAGTTGTCCATATTTTGTTTTGTCCCATATTTTAATTATTTTGGAAGTAAGTATCATCCCCTGTTGATGTTATTTAGATTGCCTACAGTTTGGGGCTGCTATAAATAAGTCAGCTATTAATATCTTCATGCTTTTGTCCAAGTATTTCTATTGGGATAAATGCTGAGAAATAACATTTTTGAGTAGAGGAAAATCCCACCTTGAATGCTGGGAGCTATCCTTCAATTCATCTGAAAATGTCACCTCTTTGCATTGCCCAGTGCTCTGTAAGAGACCCCATTTTCCTACCCAGTGACACCTTGGATATTATGTATCATTTATGTATTTTTGTTCTAATCTAAACGGAAAAATGGTATTTCACTGTTTCCATTGGAAGAGAGAATGAGCATCTTACTCTGTGTTTACCAGCCTTCCTCTTTCTTCTGTGCTGCGAACCTTAAGAACTTGGCCCTTTCACTTTTCCTACTGGGTTGTTTCAAGTTTTGTGGCTGAATTAGTCAGTCTTTTACTTTTAAAACAATATTTCTTGTTTCCTGCCTTGCTTACAAAATACTACCTTCACTCAAGATTGGAAAACTCATTGTGCCAGTTCTTAGTTGTAAGCAATAGAAATCCACTTTATTAAACACAGGCAGCAAAGGGACTTATTAGAAGGATAATGGATGCCTTAGTAAGAGATTGCAGTGTTTAGAAACAACCCTTGGACAGAGCCATAAAAAGCCAAATGGTGCCGCTGGAGACATTGCCCTGGACTCCTGCTGCCAACAGGCTGTTCTGATTCTGCTGCCATTGTCTCCACTAGACCCTGGGTGCTGGGTACTGCCATCCCCCCATCACCCCCACCACTGGCTCCTCTACCACCACCACCCGCAGACTACCAGCACCTCCCACACTTCCCTTCCACCTCTTCCTCTGCCATCTCCACCATCACCATCACCATCACCATCACCGTAACTAGAGTGAATTCTAAACTACCCCCTGATTCTTTGCAGCACACGTTTCAGATTCAAAGTCCTCCATGGGAGTCTTTAATTGTTCATACACAAGCTTTCACTGTCAAGAGTCGAGGAGAGAAATCTAATATTTGTGTTCATTTGGAGAGAATTGGTATCCTAGTAATATTAAGTCCTCCCATCTAGGAACATGGTATTGTTACCAAGCAATCAATGGGCTTGCTGCCCAGTTCACATAGAGGCCAATGCCTTGGCACCAGCTTTTGAGAAAAGAAAAACTTTATTGCCGATTAACGGGCAAGGAGGCAGGAGAAAACTCTCAAATCTGTCTCCTCGAGCAGGGATTTGGGTCAGGCTTCATAAGCACAGGGTAATGAGGTGTGATCTGATTAGATCTTGCAATGAGGTGATGCCAGGAGGCATGATCTGACTGGATCCTGCCAGGGCACGATACCAGAGCTTCATCTAATTGGATCCTGCGTCCTGCCTATCTGCTTTTATTTCAGTCCCAGTTCTTCAGCCCCAGCACTTAGGTTCCACCTACACTGCCCACTTGTTCACTGGGCATGCTCAGACTACATGACCTTCTGTCTGGGGGGGCGGTCCATGGTGACCGCAAAACAACTCACAACTTATTTTCATGAAAGTTGAACCAGATAGGTCTGATGCAGTTACAGTAGGTGCTAAAACCTCCCACTCTGATTGTGAAACTGTCAAATTCTAGGTTTTGGAATTCCAACAGTATAGTCACAGTAAGTTTCATTAATGAGATGCCAGTCTTATTTATTAATAGGTGATGCTGTTTCCTGTCTCTATGTTTCTGATTTTTAGTCTTCATGTTTTAAAATGTTATAATATTTTTTCATTCATCCTAACAGCATATATGAGTCACTTTAATCTGAAGTTCCTTCTCCTTGTCTTACTACCCTATATTCTGACAGATTTTCTTGAATTTATCTTTCAGTTCATTTACTGATGATCACTTTGAGGACAGGAAATGGTGGGTCACACTTATAATATCTAAGAAGATATAGTCCCAGAAGAATCCACGTTTCCTAAGTTTCTGAGAACAGCAATTGGAGCGTTTTAAAAGTTCTCCTTATTTCATTGCATCATCTAGGTGCTTGGTACCTCTTCCATCTGCCCTTCAGTCTTCACGGCCGCATGCTGACTGGCTCGTCTGCCTGATGTACTCCTGTTTGAAAACTGGGCTGGTTCTTCCAGGTGGCTGCTGCAGTGATTTAGTTCCTGCAGTCCTCTTCTCTAGGAGGCTTCTGCCCGGGCCCAGCTGATGGCTTGGAGCTCTGGGTACCTGGGCTCATCTGTGAAAGCCCCACCTATGATGTGTGATGGACAGCTGGTCTTGAAATAGAAGGCATGGCTGTAAATCAATAGTTGATGTCAGAAGGCAGGACACTTCATGCTCACCTGCATCTCCTCCAGCCCCTCTGGCTGACCCAGACTTTGCCTGGCTTCAAGGGGGAGACCCCTTTTCCTGTATCCATTTGTTTAGAGGAGCTGACAAATGGCTTCCTCTGAGCTCCCACTTTCTGCTGGGATTTTCCATTCCATCCTCTGGCCTGTGCCAGTAATAACATTTTACACTTGTCTGACACCTTTTCTCCTCTGAGCTCCAAGCACTTTACAAGCAAGCAGTTACTATTATTGCCCTCTGAATTCTGATGGAAAAGCTGAGAGTCGTGGGATCAAAGCTACCATGATTGGGCAGTGAAGACAAGGCTCCCAGACACCAGGCCAACCCCTGGCCCATGGCAGGACCAGAGAGAGCACCCCAGCTGCTGAGGAGGGGCAGGCCAGAGGAGGGCTTTCAGCATGGGCTCCCCAGAGACTTTCCAGAGCCTCTTATCCTGCTGTTAAGTGATGCATTGTCCTTTACTGCAGAAGAGAATGGGACCCCTGAGACTCTTCCCTGCCAGGAAAGCTGATCTGACGGCTCATGTTTTTTCTGGGAATGAGAAGACTCTGGACTCTGTAAAGTGTCCTTGTCTTGTCTTGAGGAACAGGAAGCAGATCTGTATTGCATGGCCCAGGCAGCAGAATAAGGTTCAGTTGCTACAGGTCTTTACCAGTCTAGGCCTTGCTGGCACTGAGAGCTGCCCAAAGGGGAGTGCATTTGCATCCATGGTTTGGTCCCGAGGGACGTGTCTCTAGCCGATGCTGGGGAGATGTCCCGAATCACATGAGGCTAGGGAAGGGTGACACATAAGGCTTCTTCCAACCCAGATTTTGCATTGTAAAGACGGACTCTAGTGCTATCTCTTCCAGGTAGTGGAGGCTCTGGGGCTGAGACCCTGAAACCTTGGGGCATGTCACATCTTGCTGGATCTGCAAAGCTCCTTAGTTCCCATCTTCTTCTTTCATTTAGCAAAACTTGGTTTGAGGTCTGCATTTTCCATCTTTTGTGTGAAGCTTTGCTCAGTAGCAGCTCGCTGTTTAACTAGAAAGAACATCTGTGACCATGAAATTTTCAGCAACCAAAAAATGCCCTGTTAAGCTATGTCTGCTAAACTAGTGTTGGAAGTCAGCAGTGTGTGTGTGTGTGTGTGTGTGTGTGTGTGTCTGTGTGAATTCAGCTGCCCTCAGGCAGGTGGCTGGAAACTGGCCCTCCTTTATCTGGGAACATATCAATCTTGGGAAGAATCCATGAAACTGTGAGTATGGAGAGATAACCTGACCAGAAAGAAACTGAGAATAAGTCATTCCTACTTCAGAGACCACAGAAGGAGGCAGACAGCGGGAAGGATGATTTTGTGTGTGTGTGTGTGTGTGTGTGTGTGTGTGTGTGTAAATTAGAGAAGAGGAGGAGACTACGTTTTCTGAACAGATAGAATTCTGAGCACATCTGTGTGTGTTAATGCTCACATGAAACCTTTCAAAGCTTGGAGAGATGGGTATTATAATTCTATTTTCCCAGTGAGGGATTAGAGGTCAAATAAGCTGCCCACAGCCCCAGCACCAGCCAGAGCAGAGCCAGGATTTGAACCCAGTTAGTTGTCTTTGGCTCTGATGCCCTTTCTTCTCTGTATCCCTGCCTGCCTTCAATGTAGGTGCCACAAATGAGGTCCCACAGACCCCGTCTGACCGGCTCTGAGTCTTCCGGCTAGTTCAGCCATCCCAGGCCCCAAATGCTCTTTCTCAAGGGCTGGCTGCCTTGCAAGTCCCCAGAAGCCTCCGGGTCCACCCCAGGCCTCCCTAGATGCTCTAGAGAGCTCTGGGCCCAGGCCCAGGCCCAGCAGGGCAGCTCTTGTGCAGCTCTGTGGTTTGTGATCTGGCCATGCATAGCTGGCTCTGAGCAGGCACTTATCATTCTTCCACGACCACCCAGTCAGCCCAACACTGCCTGGACGTGCAGCTCTAGCTGCCCAGGCTGGTGGTGGCTCAGCCCTCGCTGGGCCCTGCTGCTCCCACTCGCTGTCTGCCACCCCCGCTGCATCCAGCCCCGCCTGCCCAGCTGAGTGAGTGGTCGCTGGAGCCCAGAAACAGCAGGGTCTGAGCATCCCCAACGAACCACAAAGGGGGTTTCACAAATCAAAAGGACCAGAGAGAACAAAGCTGTCACATCAGTCCATCATGGAGCCGGATCTCAAAATACCGCCGGGCCAGAGTCCTGCCAGCTGTGAGTCACCACCCGGCCAGAGCAGCCACAGCAGGCCCCCGGCCGCATGGAAAAACACCTCGGCGGCCAGCTGGCTGCTCTCTGCCCAGACCTGGGAGGCACAGGGTGTCTGTGGGGTTGTTCCACACCTCCATGCTGCGGTGTGGAGAGGAGTCCACCGGGTTTGCTGGCTATAGGAGCAGGAGGGAGGGGACAAGGGAACGGCCATATCAACAATGGATTGGTGAGTGAGGACACAGTCTAGGCCTGCTTCATCCCTCCAGCCCTGTTCCAAGCCTCTGGGATAGCCAGCAGCATGATGTCACCCTTTTTATTCCTCCCTGTGGCCCTACGCTGCTGGCCTACCTCTTCCCAGGTGACGAGGAGTTAGGTTCAGGTGCCTGAGTGAATCCAGCAGCTCATGGCACCAAAGGCAACGGCAATGCACAGACCAAGAGCCTGCACTCGGTGTGCCGAGTCTGTCTTCGTGCGCTGCTCCTGCACCTCCCCCAAGCCCTATCATTACACATGGTGGGGAGGGACCTGGGGGCACACACATAGGGATCGTGTCCTTTCGTAGGAGTTCAGGCGTTCTCCTGCATTGCTTCTCTCTCATTCACCATCCTGAGACCTCTCTCCTTCCAAACAGCATCCTTTGCTTCTCCTGGCTTTGAGGCCATGGCACGTGTGTCAATAAATATGAAGTGGCCTGGAGGACAAAACGCAAAGTTCTGATCTTATTTTTATTGTCAGCACATTTCTTCCTTCTGCACCTCATTTTCCTCATTGTCAACATGAAGAGTGAGACGAGATCTTACAGAGATTTGGGGTGCCACCTGCCACCTCTCCCTGAGCTGGAGCCATAGCAAATTCTCAAGGGCTCATCTTTAGTGAATGGAACATTAATGAGGAGAATATGTTTTATTCAGGAAAGGAGGCAACAAGACTCAATTTAAGAGAATATAAGATGTCAGTTCCAGCCCCTTCCCCTCTCTAAGCGCCCACTTACTGTCTTGTCCTTGGCACTTTCCTCTAAATCCTGGCCTTTCAGGCTATGGCCCTGTCAGAGCTGAGTGCCGGGGCACTGATTTGAGGTTTCACTCACCACCTTGCCCTGCAGAAATGCCCAGAGCCTGCCTTGAACTTTTTTGCTTGCAGCCAGAGTCTCCTGCCCTCAGCTGGGAATTGACCAGGCAGAGGCATGAGTTATAATCCCCCTTTCCCCCTCTCTTCTGCTGTCCATCCCTACGCAGCCCCTCTCCATGCTGCCCATGGCCTCTGCTTGGCTGTTCTGCGCTGCTGTGTGATCGGGCTTTCCTTGTTGGAGGCCATGATGCTGAAGGCGTGGAGAGAACGCGGAGTGGCAGAGTCCTGGCCACTGTGCAGTGACCTCTGCAGACCTGGGTCAGGAGGCCGTTAGGGAGAGTGGGCATGGGCTTCAGTCAGCGGGATGAAGGCTACTGAGCAGCAGCTCTGCAGAACAAGCATAAGTGGTGATATCCTCCCTGTCCCAGATGCCACAGACAGCAGGGGTGTGCCCAGATATGTATGTTCCTAGGTGAGGTGAAAGAAAAGCACTGGCTACCTGCCACCTACGACCTGTCCCTAAGCTGAAGCCATAACAAATTCCTCAGTGCCTAGTGTCCCTCTACCCAGCAGTCAAAGTCTCTGAGAGCTCAGATATACCTGAGTCCATTCGCAAGTTCATAGGAAAGGGCATGAATCTTTGCTCTCTGTTATTACCTGCCCTCCAAGGAATCACTAACTGAAGCTAGAGATTTGTCTCTTACGATTCTCCACTCTCTCTCCTTTGGGTCCCCCCACCACTTATTTTATTTAGTTATTGTATTCAGTAAATGCCTTTGAGGGATCTGGAACTTTCCATATGGCATATAGAAACCATGCATTAGTTTGCAGCTACCCAATTTTGGGGATCCTGAGCGTCAGAGATAAATGTGTTCCTGTAATTAACTTAAAAGTACCTGCTTCCCCTTTTAAGCATAACCTAAAAATTACATTTTAAAAAATTAAGATGAAATTCACATAACATACAATCAGCTGTTTTGAAGTCCATAATTCAGTAATATTTAATGTGTTCTCAATACTGTGCAACTCCCAGCTGTCTAGTTTCAAAACTTCTTCCTCACCCTACAAAAACACCTGTATTTACAAAGTTATCACTCCCCATCCCACCTCCTGTCGTGCCCTGGTAACCTCTAATCTGCTTCCCATCTCTGTGGATTTGCTTATACTAGATATATCATATAAAAATAAACACAACATATGACTTTTTGTGTCTGATATCTTACAGCAGTTAGCATAATTGCACTTAGCACTTAGTTTTCTATGCCCCTCCATGAACCTTTTCAAGGGTTTTCCTTTTTTATAGCTGAATAGGATTCCATCTTATGGATTAACCAAATTGTGCATGCTTTCATCCTTTGATAGATTTTTAGGTTGTTACCATTTGGCTATCATGAATAATCCTGCTATAAACATTTATATACAAGGTTTTGTGTGGACAAATGTTGTTATCATTTCTCTTATCTATATGAGTAGGAGTGGAATTGCTGGATCACATGGTAACTCTACTTTTAACTTTTTGAAGTACTGACAAACTACTCTCCACAATGGCTGCACGGTTTTACATTTCTCCCAGCAGCGTATGTGAGTTTCAACTTCTTCACTTTTTCACCAACACTTCTTATTATTGGTCTTTTTAACTCAAGCCATCCTAGTCAGTTGAAGCAGTACTTCATTGTAGTTTTAGGTTGCATTTCCCCAATGACGAACAATATCAATCATCTTTTTATTTGCTTATTGGCCATTTTTATAGCTTCCTTTGAGAATGTCTATTCAGAAATGTTCCCATTTAAAATTTTTTATTATTGAGTTATAAGAATTATTTATAAATTATGGATAGTAGGCACTTATCAGATATATGATTTGCAAGTATTTGCTCCCATTCCACTGCTTGCCTTTTCATATCCTTAATAATGCCCTTTGATGCACCCATGTTTTAAGTTTTGATAAAGTCCAATTTATCTAATTTGTTCTTTTGTCACTCATATATTTGGTGTCATATCTAAGAAGCCTTTGCCAAAACTATGATTGTTATTTTTTCTCATATTTTCTTCCAACAGTTTAATAGTTATAGCTCTTATATTTAGGTGCTGACTGATTTTGAGTTGGTTTTTGAGTATGACACGAGGTAGGGGTATAAATGAGCTCTTTGCTTGCGGGTTTAGAGCTGTCCCACTTGAATGGGCATGTTTAGAGAAAGGGTAAATCAGTAAACTGACATCTTTTGCTGGTTAGATGAACAAAGCTGTCCACATAAAAATACAGGTAAACCAGTTCACACTTTTCATGTTCAGCATTGTTGTGAAGATATAAAATAATGTGTATAACACTCATGGAGTTGAATAGGACCTAATGGTGCCACTGAAGGGAATTTAGGAGACATAAATCATCGAATTGTCCACAGAAACAGGTACAGGAATCCCTCCCTTCATGGGGATTGCACACGTCTGCGTTGCATTTTCTGTTTTGCTCTGAAGCCCTACGTGATGTCTCAGCCCTCATTTGCCCTGAGTGTGCTCGTGGCATCTGCCTCATTGCTGGGTCATTGGGGCAGACAAGACCAGTCCTCAGAGACAGCTCCTGCCCTGGGAAGGCAAGGCTGCCACCCTGGAGCATCTCCCAGAGACCATAGTGCCTTGTATCCGGCTGTGGGGACCAGCTCTGGGTCTCTCCCTGTTGGTGGAGGAGGAGTCTCAGATGTCACCACCACATGTCTGGCGATTCATCAACACAGGAGAGTGCTGAACTAAGAATGTGATTTTTCCATGGGTTCACATCTCAGGGACAAGGTGATGAGCTCCACTGAGCTCTGTTCTTAGTCATTATCCTGGGTGGCCAGCCTTG